CCCCACCCCCACCTCCACCCCCACTCCTTCCTCCCCCATCCGAAAGTTATTTCTTTATGTAATTTCATTCTTTTTGTGGTTTTGGAAATGGCATATTTTGTATCGTTTGATTGCAAAATGTTTTCACGTGTTGGTTCATTGTTATTTTTTTCTTTTCGAGTGCTCGATTGACATTTTGAAACATAATTTGTTATTATAGTGTCATTGTAGTGATGTGGTGCTACGGTGTGACAGCGGTGGTGGTAATGCAATGGTTGTGGAGAGCTGGAGAGGGTTAGGTGGTCGCCGGAAAGCAGTGGAGGTGGTGGTGGGTGGGCAGTTGAGTGGTGGTGTTACATGGTGGTAGTAGGGATGGCAGCGGATAGGCTTGTGGTGGTGCGATGATGGTGTGGTGGGGCAATGGTAGCTGCTGATGTTGCGGTGGTAGTTGTGGAGGTGGCGGTGTGGTAGAAAAATACGATCTGGGGATCAATGCATTTGCGTATTGCCCACCACGCGTATGTGCGTGTCCCATCATGTGAATGTTCGTCATTTCTGTTTGAGAGATACGGAGATGGTGGGTTTCTGGTTCTATCTTTTCGGATTCAACAGGCTTCTTGTGGTTTATATCAGAGGTAGTAAATTTAATTAAATTCTTGAGGGCTAGTTCCATCTTAACGATGAGAGAGAGAGAGAGAGAGAGAGAGAGAGAGAGAGAGATGAGCTCTTGTCAGTTCCATCCTGCGTGCTGTGCCTCGCGTGACGCCCTTCCTTGAGTTGAGTTGGGTGTATAACTAGGGAATATAAAAAAAAATCTAAAAGAATATTTGATTATTTTATAATATTTTTGTATATGATTTGGATTTATATGGTAAAGATTGGTGTTAAGTGTTCTCTTTGCTATAATTGCTATTTCATGTTTTCTTTTTTTTGGAATTTTTATAGTGTGTTAAAATCTTTTTTTCTCTACATTTTTAAGTTTGTTTTAAATTTTTAAAGATATTTTAGGTTTCAATTTACTTTCTTTTTTTTCTTCTTCAAAAATGTTACCTGATCTTTCTATTAAGAGAGAGAAGTAGAATTGATCATAAAATAGGCTTTCCATAAACCGTGAGCTCTATACAGAAAAAAAACGCATCCCTAAGAAAGAACATGAACTCTATGCAAAAGTACAAAGGCCAGCCCTAAAGCCAGAGCCTTGCACAAAAACCACCAGTTAGGTGGTGAGGTGAGGCCAAGTAGGTACAAAGAATGTCTCACGGTGAGAGCTACAACAAGAGGGAAGGGTAGGGCTGTGTTGTTGAGGTAGTTTCCTTAGTGAGGGTCAGTTTCCTGGTTTGCTTCATGCAAGTATGCTTCCAATAGATGTCCATAATGTAATAAGTGTGCACGACTTCATAAGAGATATGAGCAAGTGATCAAGGGTAAGGAGAGGAGCCGGAGGCCAATCTTATAGCATTCTTGGAATCCCCCTCTACCACTAGCAAAATACTCCAATGTACCTATGTACCAAATATCACTCTTTCAAATGCCATAGAGCAACGCATGAGAAAACTTCTTCTAGGCTGGCGACTAATACAGTCGAAAGTTTCACTTGATAGCCTGGGACAGAGTTTGCTCACCCTGCAACTCAAAGGGACTTGGAATCCGTGGGCTCAATAATTCCAATATTGCTCTCCTAGGCAAGTGGTGGTGGCGTTATGCCGCCCAAGTGAACCACCTATGGCAACAGGTGATTTGCAACAAGTACCACATACGCCAATCTTCATGGTTGCCAGAAGGTCGTGCAGATGGGAGATCCTTTAGTAATTGGAGGTCGCTTATCAGAATTCTAAACTGCTTTAGAAGCAAGATTCGCTTCCACTCGAGAGCCGACAATCGAGTCAAATTCTAGCTTGATCTTTGGACTGGGTAGACTACCCTTTGGGGGCCCATTCACAAGGGTTGAGATTGGGTAACCAAGAGACACCCAAATATCCAACACAGCACCGTTGCCAAACCTCAATTAGGTTCATGACATGAGCAAATAAACCCAATCGACTTTATTGTAAGTCAAACTTGCAGGTTCCCCTTGTTTTTTATATTGTGTTTAGAGTGGAGGCATCCTTAAGCCACCAATGCATTGTCGAGACTCAAGAATCTGCCTATTTTTAAAGGAGGCAGCCCCTGGGCAAGGATTTAACTTCATCGAGGACACTTGAGACTCTCGTTGCTACACTTTTTGTTATAGTTCTATTAATGCTCCCTAAAAAGGCTGAGGGTGGCAAGTTTGAATAAGTATTATTAGGATGCGATTGGCCACCGAACCGTTGAGAATAAGTATTATTAGGATAGAACCATAGGACTGACCATCGAACTGTTGAGGGGTTAATCCAATAAAACCATTAGGGCAATGAAAAAGACATTCTCAGTAAAATTGACTTTCAATCTCCGATATAAATTTTACCAATAATAACTGGAGTACTTTGTCCCAAAACTCAAAACAATTGAAAGGCCATTATGAAATTTCCATGGACTCCCATTAAGATGACAAAAAAATATTGTGGTCATGACCATATTATGATGACTATGGTCGTGACGACATTATTGTGAATATGGTTGAACCAGGTCAATTTGGCCCCGAGACATTTATTTCCAAGAGTTCATGACTCATGATGAAACTTTGGAGTACTCCTGAGTGTCCATGCACCGACGGCCCAGATCCTCTTCCACAGCCTCGTAGCCAAATCCAGCCGTCCATAACAATCTCCAATGCAACGTGACCATGAAAGATGTCTTCACCTTAAATCTTCTCCTCAAAGAAGCCATTGCCCATGGCTGTCATCACAAAGCCTTTCAACTCTTTAACCAGTTTCAAAGTTCAGGAGGTCGCCCTAATACTTATACCTTTCCACTTTTGGCAAAATCCTTAATTTCCATTTCTGCCCTTCCCTGTGCTCCATCTCTCCATTGTTTAGCTCTCAAACAAGGCTTGAGTTCTGATATATCAGTTGCCACCTCTTTTGTGGCCCTTTATGGCAAATTAGGATTTGTAAAAAGTGCACTAAGGGTGTTTGATGAGAGAGAAGAGAGAGATTTTGTTTTATTCACTGCTATGATCTCTGTTTACGTTGAAAATGGAGCTTTTGATGAGGGTTTGAGATTGTTTGGGAGCTTGAATAAAGAGGGGTTGAGGCCTGGTGCAATTACCTTGGTTTCAGCTCTAATGGCGTGTATGAATATGTCTGAAAATCTATGGGGAAAAGGGGTTCATGGGTTTGGTTTAAAGATGGGTTTTGGACATGATTGCTTCTTCGGAGCTTGTCTTGTGAGCTTCTACTGTAAAATTGAGTGTTTTAGAGGTGCCCATAATGTGTTTGATGGAGTTTATCATAGAGATGTTGCTCTGTGTAATGCAATGATTTCTGGGTTTGCACAGAGAGGGATGGATTTGGAGGCGTTTGGTTGTTTTAGAGAGATGAGAGAGAATAGTTTTAGAGTTAACGCGAACACGATCACTGGTTTACTAAAGGTTTGTGCTAATTCTGGTGCTAATTGGTTATCTGAGATGGTGCAATTGGTTCATAGTGTTTGTATTAAAGTTGGTCTTGACCATGAAATCATGGTTGCTACCTCTATTCTTGATGGCTATGGAAAACGTGGCTTATTAGGTTGTTCAAGCCTCATATTTGCTCAAATGCCTGTGAGAAGTATTGTTTCATGGACTGCCCTGATGGGAGCTTATGTGCATAATGGACATGGCCATCATGCATTGAAGCTATTGCATCAGATGCAAATTGAGGGTGTTAAGCCTGATATGGCAGCTCTAGTCTGTGCATTATCGGCTTGTGGGCATTTGGGAAGCCTAAAGCATGGATCATGCATCCACGGATATATCATAAGGAATTTTTGTGAAATTGGACATGTTGGGATGACGACCATCATCAACATGTATGCCAAGTGTGGCAGCTTGGCTTCTTCTTACGCTTGCTTTGATGGCATGGCATGTAAGAATTTGCATGCATGGAGTTCAATGATTCGAGGTTATGGCATGCATGGCCATGCCATAGAAGCCATGCATCTTTTTGATGAGATGTTAATGAATGGTGTAAAACCTGATGGGGTCATCTTCTTATCGGTCCTATCAGCTTGTAGCCATGGAGGCTTGGTGGAGGAAGGTAAGCATTATTTCCATGTCATGACCCGTGACCATGGCATCGAGCCTAATGAGAAGCACTATGCATGCATGGTTGACCTCTTGAGCAGAGCTGGTAGGCTTGATGAGGCTCATAGTCTTTTGATGACCATGCCCATGCAGAAGAGCATGGCCATGACAAAAAGCATGGGTGCAAGTGCTTATGGGGCATTGCTAGGTGCATGCCAAACTTATAATGCCTTGGGCTTGGGTGAATCAGTTGCTAAGCATCTCATCAATAATAGGCTAGAAGATGAAGGTGCTCATATCCTGGTATCAAATATTTATGCATCAAGGGGGTAATGGTGTGAAGCCATGAAAGCAAGAATGGCTATGATTGATAGAAATTTCAACAAGGAACCAGGGTTCAGTTCAATTGAAGTAAATTGCCATGCATGATCTTCATCCGGATCTGGCACCGATCCAACCCGTTCTCACCCCTAGTACAACGTTAGGACATTTACGTAAGGAACTCAAGATGGATGGTTGCTAAACATGATGAAACTCAATTCTGGTTCCATGAATAGTTGGGAGATGTATCATTGAAACTTAGATTCCCTTATCTCTTCATAGTGGTGGATAATAGATATGTCAAGGTCTGTGAAGTGGCTACAGGAACAGGAACCGAAGTCTTTTGGAATACCTATTGCAAATATAATAGGGTTCAGGAAGTCGCAGTTACTCAACTTACATCATAATTATATAGGTTGATGAATTTTTTTGTCTCAACGGTATTTGATGATAAGGCTATATGGGAGCAAGAAACAGGTGAATTAAATACATGTTGTTGTTCTTCTCTTCATAAAATTACTCTTTTGTGCTTGATAAGTAAGGGAAAGGTGTTAACACTGAACCACTAAAGGAAAGGGGATTAGTTCTCGTCGATCTTTTCTTTAACTGTAAAAACAATGAGGAAGATGGAGATCATCTATTTCTGAATTGTCCTTTCTCGCAACATATTTGAAGTTAAGCTTTGAATAACATGGTGTTTTCATCAACTTGCCTGAAAGGTATTCTGATTCCATTGATCATTTAAATCTTCCAAATCTAACAAGGAATGGGGAAATCATTTCAAGACCTTTAGACTGACCATTTTGTGAGAGATTTTGATATAATAAAGCATAAGAAATTTTTAAGGGAAGGGGTTAGAGGTAGGTCAGATAAAAAAAAGAATATATGGAGACGCCGGTGGTGTTTCTTTCAATTCGGATAACGTTATAAAATTGGGTGTATCAAATACGATATAGTATGAAGATGGAACCTGTGTCCATGTGGTTCTTGGAAACTCAATTTTGATGGGAGTTCATTTAGAAAATAATAAGAGATCACGGACTGTTATTTCTTTCGTAGATCCATGTCGTAATGTAATTGCTAATGAGGTTGAATTGAGCATGGTTTACAAGGATTGATTCTATTTGGAAAATTAATGGATGTCGACTCTTTGTTAGGAGAGGGAGACTCGTTATTTTATGGTTTGAGAGTGAACAGAAAACTCCTTGAAAACTAATCACTTCGGATGTGAGATTTACATCTCATGAATAATTGGGGTCGTATCTTTACATGACAAGTGGAGCTTGAAAGCTAAAACTTAGCCTGAACTTTATTATTAAGTAATGGAAATAAAAACATTTACAAGAGGGGTTTAAAATATGCCACTTAAAATGGAGAAAATTACCTTTACAAAACAAGTTTTATGCAAAATGATTAATTGAAAAGTGTCATTTTACTTCTTTTTTTTCCCCATTAAGGATCTTTTTGTTGTTATTTATAATTTTAAAAGGCGTTTTTATAAGCCCTTAAAACACTCATTTCTAATTCATGGACCCAAGTAGAGTTTTTTATTTATTTATTATGTTAATTTGATTTTTCAATCTAATCACATAAGGGATTTAGAGAGAGAGTTTTAAAGTAAGGTTAGGACTAATCTGGATCGGAATTACCGTCTCCTTGGTCTAATTCCTGCCTAGAATTGGAAATTGCCCCTATTATCTATAAAGCCTATTATTTGCATTCTATAATATGAGCTTTTGATGATTTGAGTCCATGCCTTAAAAAACAAATAGGTGACCTTGAATGCCCATCCCAAAAACCGGTCCGAATTAGCAGTCAGGTTGGGTAGGCCAAAAGGCCCTATCTTGCCACAAAAACTTTCAAAAAATTATTTAAAATCCTTATAACAATTTTTTTTGTGTGTTTCCAACAGATAATGAAAGTAGTGCATTATCAACTTTTATTATTTTACAAAAGGGTGCAGTGGGCATACAGATGCATCTGTAGGTATAGAGGTAAGATGCACCTTCAAATTTTATCATGGTATATAATTTTGATGTAAAATGTTCTTAGGATTATCTCAAAATCGATTTTTATATCTAATTATAAAATTTTAAATTTTAAAATGGTTAAAATCAAGTAGATCAATAAACATATGAAAATTTTGAAAATGGACGGTGTAGATAATATGTTGTAAAATGTACTATTTCTAAGACTTAAAATCTTTTTATTTTTCATAGTTATACATCTCGATGTCAAAATGATCAATCAAAAGGTTTTTCAACATTAAAACTACCTTTTCCGATGGATTTTTGAGGTCCGTAGTTTTACATTATAAAGTTGCATCGTTATATAAACTTTTTCCTTTACAAAAATATGTGTGTATTGAGACATTGTTTCCTATCGGTTTGTCTATGATATTAGTTTTAATACTAATGGTTCTACTAATTTTGATATAGTACATTACAAAAGTTTTTATACCATAGGTGGTTGAATCGTGGGCTTGAACATAAAATTTATGCGAAAAACCCTAGAATGGATGTTTGAGAGGATCTGGGGATGCATCCTCTTTTAGTAACACAAAGAAGCTGTATTCATTGATACAGATATACCGTGAAGCACCATGAGTAAGAGAAAGGGATTTGGGATGCGCAATGTTATCAAAGAAAAAAAAAAGAAAAAGAAAAGAGAGAGAGAGAGAGACAGGTGCATAGCTTTGCACTATATAAGCCTATTTCCTTTAATACTGTAACGTTCCTAAAAATAAAAATAAGAAAAAAAAAAAGAAAAAAAAGAAAAAAAAAGAAGTGATGTGGTCTCACACATCACTAAACTAATTAGTAATGATATTATGTAATAATAGGAAATGTGTAATATTTATGTGATTAATTAAAGGATTGATCATTATATTTCTATTTTGTATTCAAACAAAAGTATTTATATGATATCTTAATTTCATTCTATGTGCGCACCTAATCCAACGAAGAGGTAAAATATTCAAGTCACAATACTCCCTTTTGTATGTTTATTATGTATTTTAGTGTATTTAGTGGCATATGTTCCTAAATAATAAGGCACATCGATGATTGATATTGAGATAGAGAGAGACAGAGTCAAAAGAGAGAAGAAAATGCGCTCATTTATTCATTATTTGCGAAACACAAGAACTCACTCTACTAACCTAGAAACACCTTTATAATAACAATAACAATAACAATTTATTTATTTATATTAGAACGAAATCATTTTTATTGCATTTTATATTATATTTCATGCTTTTTGGATCGATGCTAGCTCTGCCATTGATCTGAGAGCGGATCTATTCATTTTTTAATAGATCTAGCATCATATCAGAATTTGATTGTCCCACTCTCTATCACACTTAAAAAAAAACAGTTTTTGGTATTAAGATCTGAGAGATCTTCCTCTGGAGATCTCTCCGATTTGCATCGTAAACGGTGGGTGTCAAACTGTTTACAATGCAAATCAGAACGATCTCAAGATGAGATTTGACCTTATTCGAACTACAAACTGATTTTTTCAAAAGAGCGATAGAGAGTGGGACAATTAAATTCTGATATGAGGTCAGATATTTTTAAAAACGAATAGATCCGCTCTCAAATCAGTGATAGAGCCAGCATCGATCCAAAAGTATGAAATACAATCTAAAGTGCAATAAAACATATTTAATTCTAATAAAAATAAATAACTACATAAAATAAATGTAGAAAGAGTAAAAAAATACCAGACCGGGCCAGTTGGTCTGGAACTCCCGAGGCTTCGAGGTCTCGCCCATATTAGGACCAGCTGAGTTTATGTCGTGCGCCATCTTTGTCTCTTTTCAGGTTTTGACCAGGCCTTGGCTTGGTTGGATCTCATGATCTAACGGCTGCAAGTGGCCTAAAGCTAAGGTTTTTCTAAGTCTAGTTTGGTCCAAAGCAAAAATCAAGTTTAGTTAATAACTGGTCAGAGCTAATCTTTGACAGGTCAGACCACCTGGTTTTGACCATTAGACTATCTTAAACAAAGTTGGACAATCGTTTTATTTATTTATTTATTTATTTATATTTCATGTTTTTTCAACTTCTAAAAATCTTGTCCAAACGATTTGATGGATAGTGGGATTTATTTTAAATTGATTGGATCCCTCACCGATTTAGTTGCAGATGCAATTCTGATAACAGTAATGCTACAGTTTGAGGACTGGAACTTGTTTTACTAAATACAATAGGGAAAAAGTTTATATAAGGTTGCAACTTTATATTAAAAAAGTAAAGTGCACCTCAAAAATCCAATAGGAAAAAGTGTTCTTAACTTGAAAGTCCTTCCAATTGATTATCTCGATCTCAATATGTATGGATATAAAGAAAACAAGAATTTCAAGTTCTAAAAGTACTTTATCTTGTATCAAGTTATCTAGACTATTTATTTTCAAGATTTTCAAATATTTATAGATCTGAACGATCTGCACCATTTTTGAAATTTTAAATTTCATAATTAGATTTGAACATGAATTTTCAAGCCATCGTAAAGTTTCTGACTCTATAACTACATCTTCCAGCCAAATTTAGACGTGCACCATACATGGATAGTATAAATTGTGAACCTTATACAAACCTCACCTTCTACATAAATAGGATGCCACGTGTCTTTCTACTTAGTAGTAAGGTCGTTTTTGCCTACTTAGCTATACCCTATCAAACTAAGTCCTAGGCCACAAAATGTGGCATGAGGGTGGAGCCTGGGCTAAGGCCAAGACAAGACTAACTTTCTTTATTTTTGTCTCTTTTTTTATTGGTTCTATAAGGCTTGGGCCCGGGCCAACCCTAATGGGACCAAGGCCAGGCTAGAGCTGGCCGGTTCCATTGCAAACCCTACTAAGTGGACATTTTCCTTCAATAAATGTATGTTTCTAACAATGTTTTTACCATTATAAGTATATCAAGATTTCCTACATATTTGCATATGAAATATTTTTTGAAAGATGCATTCTTTATTTCGTAGGAGAAATAAGTGACGTCCTTTCTTTAATG